TTTCACATATTATGTTTTAATTTTATATTTAATATACACTATTTAAAAGAAAAAATAGTATGATAAATATTACATGCCATGAGACAAGAAAAATAGCAGCTCAAAGAAAGCTTATTTAAGAAAGAAAACCTCACAGTAGTGAGCTTTGAATTGAGATTTTAAAGAGAGATTTAGCTGCATGGTGGAGGGATAACGTATGCAGAAAGGGAAGGATAACATGGAGGTAGGAAGAGATATTCACTGTAGGGAAACCACTGATAGTTCAAAATTGATGAAGCATAGGGAGTTATTCCATTGACTACCTATCTTACAAGCCTCATTTTCCCCCAAGGACAGATTGTGTCAGGGTAAGGAGTTGAAATTTTAATTTGAAGCATGGGGAGCAACTCCAAAGTCTATAAGGAAAGTGTAATATGATACGATTAGCTTTGCATTTCATATGTATCACGATGGTACTGTGGACTACTGACTGACAAGGGGCAAGACAGGGAGGAGATACTTGTGCTAGACGACTGCTGCAATAATCTACAGGAGATGCCAATGTGGTGATTGTGAGGATAAAAGGGAGGAAATAGTAAGATATTACGAAGGGTAGAATTAAAAGAACTTAGGTTCTTAGGAACAAAGGAGTATATGAAGTTACTTATTACAATTTCCTTTTTTGGCTTGAACAACTGAGTAGACAATGGGGCCAGCCCTTCAGTGTCAGGAAACATAAAAATGGCATAGATAAGATTGCAATGGGAGTTATACCTGATGTAAATGACGAGTTGATGGGTGCAGCACACCAACATGGCACAAGTATACATATGTAGCAAACCTGCACGTTGTGCACATGTACCCTACAACTTGAAGTTTAATAATAATAAATAAATTAAAAAAAAAAAAAAAAAAGAAAAAAAAAAGAAAAAGATGAAAAAAAAAAAAAAGAAAGAAATGTTTAGTTCTGCTGTTGAGGTTGAGGGGTTTGGGGACGTTTAATAGATGACAGTGTGGGGATACAGCTGAATACACATATATGTCTGGAACACAGGACAATGTTGAAGAAACAGACTTAGTTATTACAAGAATAAAACTCGTAGTTGATGTCATGGGACTATTTCAGATCACCACAGGAGGAAGGCTATGAAGGGAACCACAATATATAAAAGGTGGAGTATACATAGAAAGCCCCAAAAGAAAGCTAAGGAAGTACTCAGGAAGATTTCAGGAGTGAGTAGCCTCACAGAAGCCAATGGATGACAGTTTCAAGAAGGAACATACTCTTTCAGAGAAATCTAGAAAGACAGGAGCTGAAATGTGTCAGTGGTATTGAGAAACTAGATTACATACTGTATTAATGTGACAGAATTACCTAGTGCTTGTTTGAAGGTCAGATTTCTGGTCCCTGGTCCCTCTGAGCAGAAATTTGTGGGGATGGAAAAAGAATTTATGCATTTTTAAGAAGGTTTCCAGTGAATTACACCCTCAGGTCTGAAAACAACTATAGCAAATTGTAAACTCTTCAAGAAGAAGTATCTTGTTTGTTTAACTCATCATGTATACTTAGTGTTCACCATAGCATCTGTCATATAATAGATCCTCAACAAATATTCAGTAATTTAAAAATGAGATGAATGAATAAATAGATGGAGAGATGAAAAGCTACTGAATGAAAGAACTAAAGAACTAATGTCTGCCAAAATCTTGGCAAGATTATTGGAGCTTACATTCTAATGGTACAGGGCAGATAATATACATGTGAACAGATGAACAAATAAAATAATTTGCAGAGATCTGCTTTAGCTAGAGTAGTCAAGGAAAGCTTCTTTGAGGAGGTGGCATTTAAATTATGAGAAGGTATTAACCAGTGATAGTCTGTGGACAAAACATTTCAGGCAGGGGAAGGTCCTAATGAGAAAAAGGGTGAATAAAGTGTGTTTAAGTAATAAAGAGACCTATGCAGCTACAGCTAAGGGAATGAGACAGAGAATGGGAGAACCATAGAAGATGAGCCTGAAAAGATGGATAGGATGCTGATCATATAGGCTCTCACAAGTTGTGATCTATCGCTGTTTGGATGTTATTCTAATTGCAATAAGAACCCACTTACATTTTAAACAAAGTAGGGATATGATTTGATTTACACTTGAAAAATATCATTCTGATATCTATATAAATAAGGGATCATGGCAGGGCAATGGTGGAAGTAAGCAGACCAGTTAGAAGTTGAGGTAGTATTCCAGACAAGAGGTGATTATGGTATGGTGGTAGTAGTAGAGACAGTGAGAAGAGCTTGGAGTTATAATAGAATATATTCTGGAAATAGAGCAGACAAGGTCATGTTAATGAGTTAGATATAGCAGGTGAGGGAAAGAGGAGTCTAAAGAATTTGGATTTTTGCCTGTAGGCAATGAGGACTCATTTAAAGTTTTGATTGAGTGACACAAATACAGTAGAATATATTAGAACGATTATCTTGGGGCAAGAAGCAAACAGAATTCTTTGGAAAATAAAATAGAAGGTAGAGGCAAATTTGGAGGTGTCAGTATTATTCTAGGCCTGAAGTAACAGGCATCTGAATTAAGGTGATGACAAAAGGAATGGCAAAAAACGATGGATATCAAGGCTACCATCGAGTACGTAGAGATTGAATTTGTGGTATCTGTGGGCACTGAAGTTTCGCTGATAAATATGGACCACAAAGACTTGGGAGTCATCAAAATATAGCTAATAAAGTCAAGTGAGCGATTGAGATTACCTAGAAAAAGTTTCTAGAGGGAAAATGGAGCCTAAACTAGGAATCAGTAAAAGAGCAGGACTATCCAGAATGAAAGTAGAAAAACGAGGAAAGTGTGGTTCCATCAATGTAACTAGAAGCATTTCAAGATGCATTTGTAACTGGGAAATACGGACTAAGAAGTATCTATTGTGTTTGGCAAAATGGGTATCGTGAGTGATTTCGGTCACAGCTGTATCCGTTTAGAGGCAGAACGAGAAGACAGATTCCAGGTACTTGAGGCATCTCAGACATGAAGAAGTACTGACAATGAATACAGATAACACTTCTATATATTTTGGTTTTGAAGCAAAGAAGAAAGAGAGGTAGTCAGAGAAAAACTAGGGTGGAGAAAGGGGGTCTTTAGGATGGGACAGTCTGTATTATGTTCCAATATTGACGTGAAGGAGACAAAGAGACTGAGAATGAAGACAGTCGAGGGGGTGGGTTGACTGCAATGTCTCTGAGAAGGCAGGTGTGAATGGGATCCAAGCACAGGTAGGGCCTTAGCCATATAAGGAAGAAAGAACACTTCTCCCAGTTACAGTAAGCAAGGATAGGTGTAGGTACAGGGAAATTAGTAGGGGTGGTGTTGGAGTTGGGAGGGAGGCAGTGCGATTTCTTATATCATGGCTCCTATTTCCTCTGTGAAGGAAGATGCGTCATCCACTTAAAGTAAGGGGTAAAGTGAAGGGATTTTAAATTTTAGGACAGTGGAGAAGGAATAAAATAGCCATTATGGAGAATGGGTAGAAAATAATTCTAGGGAAATGTAAGATTGCCAGAGCAAGTTGAGGAACTTGCTAAAGAATCATTGAATAAAATGATTTTTGCATTTTGTGTTTAAACATCCTATAGTAATACGAAGATTAACTCATAATCAACATCATGGTGCTTCTCAAAACCTTATTTCCCTTTTCTACAAAGAATATCAACACACTTAAAATCTAAACTTATGACTTCAAATTTTGGAAATAGCTCTTTTGGCCAATACTTTGGCTAATGCCAGTCTCTCACTTCTGAATTTTTCTTTCATTTCCATAAATCTATACAATGTTTTGGTAGAAGCCAAATTTACTCTGATGGCAGTGAACAGATGTAAACATGATATAATGGAGCTACAGAACAAAATGCTGTGAGAAAAGTCCTATCAGATAAGCATAGAAAGCAACCATGTTCCATAAATTGACTTAAATAAATGACACCAAATTATCTAGAAACCAAATACAATTTGTCACAATTATATAATCATTTCATTTTTCTTTTAATCTTTACTATGTGCCTGGAATATACTAGATGCTTAATAATAATTATTAAGGAATTAACACTATAAAAAATAACATTTCAGAGATTTCTAGGCATTTGGTACATATTGATTGATAAACCATAAAATAATCAATTACAAATAACTCCCCCAAAAAGGTAAAACCCATGAAGGTATTGAAAAGTGTAACTGCTAACAGTTCATATCACAGCAATGGTATTAAAAAAGCCCAGAGACAATATTGATGAATTAAGAGCATGGGACAAGAAAATGATAACTTGTTAAAAGAGATAGGTTCTTTCATAGGAGAGAGATTTTCTTTTTTCCATCATCATGATAGAATATAAATACCCCACATAGTGTAATAATTAAACATTCTAGTTAATGATGCATTGCCATACTAAACATAACATGTGCTCTAAAACTCTAATAAAATATAGTACATTGAATAGAAAGAGTAAATGAAAACAACTGAATATTTAATATTTAAAACATGTTTAGGGTTTCACAATAAAAAGTTAAGTAGAGTAATTTGAAATCTTGGGATAATTTTTTTTTTACTATGCTGCAAGTCAATTTCTTAATTGGTAAAAGAGAAGGGGTTACATTAATCTCTAAAGAAAGTTTCTACTCCTGTTTCTGATGACAAAGCATGTGATCACACAAACTATCAGATACTTTAGTAGTATAGCACATTTTATATAGAATACAGTGTTCATTTTAATAAAAATAGACTTTCTGACAGAGCAATTTCTTTTTAGGTATAACTGTATCTTATATTTGGGTTAACAAGTTGGTAATTAATTTTTATAATTTAAACATTTTCATTTCCATTTGAAGTTTATTTTTTTCATAAATATACTATAAATGTATTTGATTTTTTCTAAAATAAAATAAATTTTGTAAACATTATATCATGGCATTATTTTGTTTTCTCCTTTAGATGACTGTATTTTGAGATCTAGTATAAATTCTTACCTCTAAGAGATATGGCTCCATTTGATCCAGGGTTTTCCCAAGATGCTTATCAGGATCTAAGCCTGCCAAGAAAGGTTAAATTTTTTAAAGATAACTATCAGATAGGAACTTTAAAGGCACATTCCCTTTCCCTTGGCTCTTCTTTGCCTAGGAAAGCAGTGTGTATATATTTTGAATTGCTTTGATCATAAAGTAAAACGTACTTTGCTAGTATTTACTTTTCTATTCCCCTTGGGTAACTGGTTTTATTGCTTCTGAAAAGTAAATTTCCATTTATTTCAATTGCACTGTGTCAACTACCAGATGCATTGTTTCAATTCCTTTATTCATTTTGAGGATGGAAAAATGTGTGGATTTTTAGGAAAAAGAGTATCATTTCAAATACCTAAACTTTTAATTCTTTATATTTTAATGGTTACGGTTTATTTTACTGATGGACAACAGCATTAATTTTCTGATTTATCCCTATTTTATTTAAACTTCAAACTTCTTACTTAGACAATAAGAGTAGAAAATAGCGGTAGACTGTTATGCTTAAGTATTAATTCACTTAATAGTAGCATATGGGCACAAATAATTGCATTATTAAATTAAATGACATTTCATTTCAATGACTCCTTTGCAACAATGTATTTTTCAAGTAAAGATACAGACAACTCTGAAAAATCATCACTGTGCCTACAGCATGTGTATAACCTTTAATAAAGATATTAAACTGACATAACAGTAGCATTTACATAGGTGATGGAGTGCGGGAGACAAGTGTGAGCTACATGAAAGCTTTCTATACACCAAGACTAATCAGCCAGGAAAAAAATCACATGTCACAAGTCAGCCATGAAATAAATGAATTCATTTTGGATATTTACATTCATATTTACATATACTGGCCTAGCTTCATTTACAAAAGTTAATGTAATGAAAGGCAATACTATAGAGCAAAGACAGTTTTGTCAACAAATGGTGTGAAATAACTGGATATCCAGAGGCAAAAAAAAAAAAAAATGGATCTAGACACAGACTTTACACTCTTCACAAAATTAACTTAAAATAGATTGTAGACATAAAGGTAAAATGCAAAATTATAACATTCCTATAACAGGAAAAAAATCTAGATGGCCTTGGTTATGGGGTATTTTAATACACCCCACCAGAAGCATTATCCATTAAGGAAACAATTAATAAGCAGACTTCATTAAAATTAAAAACCTCTGCTCTGTGAAAGACAATGTAAGAAGAATAAGAAGAAAAGCCATAGACTGACAGAAAATAACATCTGATAAAGGACTAGTATCTAATATATACAAAGAACTCTTAAAACTCAACAATAAGCAAACAACAATCCAATTTAAAAACGGGCAAAAAGACCTTAACAGACACCTCACTAAAGATATATCGACGGTAAATAAGCATATGAAAAGATCCTCCACATCATATGTTACCAGAGAAATGCAAATAAAACAAGAAGCTACCACTACACACCTATTATAGCGGCCAAAATCTGGAAAACTTACAACACCAAAGGCTGGCAAAGATGTAGAGCAATACTATTGCTGATTGGAATGCAAAACGGTACAGTCACTTTGTAATGGGAATACATATAAGACAGTTGGGCAGTTTCTTACAAAACTGAACATATTCTTACTAGATGATCCAACTATGCTGTTCCTTGGTGTTTACCCAAAGGTATCAAAACTTTTGTCTTCACAAAAACCTGCCCATGGATGTTTATAGCAGCTTTATTCACAATCGTGAAAATCTGGAGCAACCAAAATGTCTTTCAGTAGGTGAATGACTAAGTAAATTGTGTACATCCAGACAATGAAATATTATTCAGTGCTAAAAAAAAAAAAAAAAAAAGCAGCTATCAAGCCATGAAAACACATGGAGGAAATGTAAATGTGTATTACTAAGTGAAAAAAGCCAATCTGAAAAAGCTACATACTGTATAATTCCAACTATTTGACATTCCGGAAAAGAAAAAACTATGAAGATAGTAGAAAGGTCAGTGATTGCCAGGGGTTTTGGGCAGGGGGCAGTCAAGGTTAAACAGGCAGAGCACAGAGGATTTGTAGGGTAGAAAAATACTCTGTATGATACTATAATGATGAATACGTTATTATACATTTGTCAAAACCCATAGAACGTACATCCCAGCAGTGAACCTTAATGTAAACTATGAACTTTGGGTGATTATGATGTGTCATTGTAACTTCAACAATTTTAACAAATGTACCACTCTAGCAGGGGAGGTTGATAACGGGGGAGCTCATGCGGTATGGGGTCAGGAAAATGACTGTACATTTGGAATATCTCCGTACATTTGGAAAATGTATATGGAAAATCTCCGTACATTTCTCTTAATTTGCTGTGAACCCACAACTGCTTTAACAAAATAAAGTAAAAAAATTTGGTAAAGTTTCCTTGTGGTCTAGAACATGATCAGACTTTATAAATGCTCCATCTGTGCTTGAATGAGGTGTGTTTTCTATCTGTTGAAAGCAAGATTCTGTACCCAAACACATAAAATCATGATCATACTTAATTAATTTTGCTCTTCAAATCTTTTATGGCCTTAAAAATTTTTGATATCCATGAACCATCAGTTTCTAATAATAAGGTAAAAAAAAACCTCCCATTATGATTTTGGTTTTAATAATCTCTTCTTATAATTCTGTCATTTTTCCTTAATATGTTTGAGAGCTATGTTGTTATATGTGCACAAACTCATAATTTCTAAAACTTTTTGATAGAATTACTCTGCTTATCAAGAAGTAGTGACTTTTTCATCTCCATCAGATTTTTATCTTGTAATCTGTATGTCTTCTATGAACATTGCGACACCAGCTTTCTTTGGTTAATCTTCCATATATATTTTTTCCATTATTTGTTCTCAAATTTTTTGTATTGTTGTAGATGCCCACATATAATTGGGTTTCTTTTGTTTCACCCAATCTTATAAATATGACCCTAAAGAACAGAGTTTAATAATTTTATGTTATATGGCTGGACCTGCTTCTATCATCTTAGTATAAATTTTCTGTTACATTAAGCTTTATATCTTTCTTTTTTTTCTGCCCCATACTGAGTTGAAAATTATTTTAATGTTTTACTCTGCTAATTAGAATGCTATAGAGTGAATTTCTACTTTTCAGATAATCATCTGTGATTTTTTGCATACATTCAAAACCATATTTTTAAAGTCTTAACGTATTAACTATCTTCAGCATCCTTTAGACCAGAACTTAGTATGTTTTAACTAGACACTATACAGGCTTCACCATTTCAGTTATTATTGTGTTGAATTTTTTTCCATTATTTTTAGCAAGAAAAATTAAGGTTATCAACATAGTTTACAATGTTTATGCTCACTATTGTTTCTCATTCATTTCTCCTTGAATCAATCTATTTCTAACTGAAGTTTGTTCTTTATTCTTTCACTGAAGATCTGTGAGTGGTATATTCTCCTAGTTTTTACAGGTCCCATAATGTCTTTATGTTTCTCTCACAATAGTTTAGTTGCAATATGTTACTTTTGGCATTTGCAGTTCCTAATGAAAATTACGATGTCAGTCTGATAGTGGCTCCCATATAAGGAATCTTTATTTTCTATATGCTAGATTGTATAATTTTCAACATACCTATGACACAATTTTCAACATACCTACTACAGTTTGCAATCTTAATTCAAGGTGTCCAGGCATATGTTTATTTTAATTAGTACTGGACAGCACCTAATGTGTACTTTCAATTCAAAAACTCATGTCTTTCTTCAAATCTAGAGTATTTTCAGTTATATCTGCTTTTCTGCCTTCTATTTTTTCCTTGAAACACATATTATACAAATATTGCAATTTCCCAATCTAGCTTCCATATTTTTTAATTGCATTTTCTATTTTTTTTCCTCTCTGTGGCTTTTTCTATTTTTTTGCTCTCTCTCTGCCTTCTTGGTGAATTACTTTTTCTCTTTTTTTCTGCTGCACTCATTCTCTCTTTGACGTGACTAGCATTTATTCTGCCCACTGAGGTTTTTTTTCATGACTATGTTTCATTTCTAAAATTTCTATTTGGTTTTCACATCACTCTTACTGCTTCATTCTGGACGATTTATTTTTCTAATAACTACTTTTTTAAACAAATGGATTTTATATTTTTCTTGATCTCTTTGAGGTTCTCCCTCATGTAGGGCACTTCCCATTTCTGTTTCCCCACAGGACATGACCACCCAACTGCTTCTGCCTGCTTCCTGGATCCCTACATTACAGCGCACAACTTCAGTCCTGTTCACTACTTTTTGTCTTTTCATTTCTAGCTAACAGAGATGTTTACAATGTTTTCCAGCACAATTATGTTTTTCACATTTTTCCTTCTTATATTCATCTATGACTGCCATGGGTTTGGGAAACTTGTTAAATCCAAAGCATGAATATACAAGGTCAGCATGGCTGGAAGTCACTTTTTAGCTTTCCCTCCAACTCTATGTGTATGTGTATGTGTGTGTGTGTGTGTGTGTGTGTGTAACAACACATACATATATCACAGTCAGCATTAGGGCATCATTTAAAAAGTCTCCCATGATTGAATCTGAGAATTTGTGTTTTGCATTCTATGCATGAGCCTGGAAGTAAATATATGCAAATATATGCCTGTAAGGCATAAAAGGGAATTTAACAGCATACAGTTTTACACAGGTAGGCACCATAAGATCTCATTTTTCTTGCAGTCTTTTAATTCATTGTAGAGTATCAAGCCCCAGTTCAGAACTGTTAAAGTATGGAAACAGCAGTTATATCTCATTTCAGAGATGGCTGTATTCCACAGTGGATAAAATCATTTGGCTTGCCTTTAAATATGAGTCAGTAAATAATGTAAACATAAAACACCCTGAACACACTTTCCACATGAACCGGTGGTCTTCACACAGTTACAGCTTGGTAAAAATTAGTTGGTCATTTAAACACTTTTCTGTATTCATGAAAGTATTTTCAATACGTTAGCTTGGGCTAAGCACTAAAAATTCCAGGAAGCTAAAATCATTGAAATAAATAACATTTAAAACATT